TGACATTGCTTCCGCGTGCACCCAATATATTATGAATGATCTAAACTTGGAAGCTCGCATTGGCACTTTATCTGCTAGGCACATGGACTTATTCTCGATACGGATACCACTATATCTAGGTTTGGTTAGGTTAGATTATATGTGAATGGTTTCATTAACTCAAATGAGTTTGCTACTTGTGGAGAGGTCATCCATAATTCTAAAAAATTTAGAATAAGGGATTCACAAGATTTATGAAGTTTCATTCAAGTACTGTTGCTGAACTTTTAGCAATCCTTAAAGGGCTTGAACTATGCTTGGCAAAAATTGCTGAGATGTCAAAGCTCACTTCAACTCTTTGGAATCATCTTACATATAGTGAAAAAAACATCACTACTATATATATAGTTGGCTATACTTCATAGTTATTTTTACACATATTTGATGGTTCACAACTGTTAAGTAAGCTCCCATCAAATATTGGAGGTGGCTATATTTGAAGGGTTATGAAACTGCCAAATATTGGGCCTAAATATTTGATGCTCGGGGCCAACCGTAATATAATAGATGCTTAAAGTTGGCCAATAATTTGAGTTATAAGGGCATATTTGATTGTTATAGTATATAACAATCAAATATGTCCCTTTTATTCGACGGTTATTATTCTCAATCACATTGGTCATCTCTTTAATACGGCCTACCTCTTTTGTATTTGTACTGAAATCACATAACACAAAATTACTACAACTACTTTTGGTCACATTCCTTGTCTCACCATACTTATACCAACAGTTATAAGTTTGATCAATTCTGTGACATACTAAATGATCTTCCAATTCAATCTTGCAAACCCGCTTCAAAAAACCACATTTTACACAAGGACACGATATTGTTATGGTCATCTTCATGCTTGAATGCAAGCTTAATAAATTCTTTCACTCGATTTAAATATTCCTTTGACACTCAATTCACAGACATTCATATCTTATCTATAATCCTAATCTATGAAAAAAAATTTATGAAATGTAATTAGTGGCTCAATTATATTGGAGGAGTACTTGTAACAAACACAAGGAATATTAACTAATTAAAACCATCCATGAGTCATGAGCCACAAGCCACCACATACAACACAATCCCTTTTTAAGCTAAATTGAAATAAATACTTGCAACTATATGTAATTTTTTGGGAAAGTAAGTATATATTGTAAGTATGAAATGAAAATTCGGCAACACAACTTAAAAATAAGACTTTTCCAAGCATATACCTTCTATTCATACTTAATTTCATCCTTATTCAATTTAATTTAATTACTTTTAAATAAAAATTCGATAGCATAATAACTTAAAAATGAGACTTATTCGGGGCATTTTGCCCTCATTTTACTTCATCCCTGTACAATTTAATCCAACATAATCGAATTCTACTTAGCCATAACAACAACAAAATTCACAATACAATGGCATTATTATATATTAATCTAAATCCTTTCACATTATAATAACTAATAGGTAGAAAATCTCAACATAAAAATCACAAAAGTAGAATAAATTGTAAGTAAATCCATGTTTTCAACACATAATTGTAGGTAGAATTTAATACCAACAATTCAAGTTGCACAAAGTATTAATCAACAAAACAAGTATAGCAACATGTTCAAAAATTTCAATTTCCACAACATAAAATTAAAAAAAAATGCAATTTAAACAATCAAAAATCAAAATCATCAACAATAAGTAATTCCTAAGCAATGTAGGTAAAATTACTCACCAAAAATTGAGCAAAAACAACCCACAATGCTCCAATCACGTTGGTTAATGGATACCCAATAGAAATTTCACAATTCACAATTGAAATGAGCATAGGGGAAGCTTTAACTCAATCTGAGAAGTTTGAAAATGCTAAAAAATGATAAATTCCAACACTCATATGCAAGAATACTGAAAAATTACTTAGCCATAGTCGCAAAGCTGAAAGAGAGTGAGCAAGCACAAGATAGAATCCAAATGAGTGGAGAAAGGCTGAAACTTTAAATAAATGATGGGAAAAGGTCAATTTTAAGGTTGAAAGCTTGAAATGGGAGTGAGTTGAATGAAATTTTGGAGAAAATGAGTGGCGACAACGACCACAACTATTATCAACATAATGAAAAAGATAAGTAGTGAGGGATTTTTAAATTTTTATATTTGACAGTTGTTTATTATAACTTTCAAGTTAATGGTTGTTCATTAAAACCATCAAACATCTGAAATATTTTTTTTTCAGAAAAATATATCTTCTTAAGTTTGAAGATTCTCCTTCACAACTGTCAAATTTAAGAAATTATATTTTATTATATTTGACAGTTCACAAAGGAAACTATCAGATATGCAATCCTACCTCTATATATTTGACCGTTTCTACAATAATTATCAAATATAAGGTATCGTTTATGAGCTTTTTTTAGAGTAGTGCATGCTAAACCTCTTGCATCCTCTTGTCAATTCTATTAGAAGAATTAGGAATCTTCTTATGCGCGATTGACAAGTTTTCATTGATCATGTTTTCAAAAGAGCTAATCATTCTGCTAACTAATAAACTCATCAGGTAAATGATGATAGTTTTTCAAAATGAGAATTTTTAATTGATGAACCACCATAGGGTACAGGGACTCTTTACGTTCCGGTATTGCCTAATTTAATTAGTTTGTAACTGCACAGGTTTGACCCTAGCCTCGTCAATTCAATATATATATATATATATATATATGCATAGCATGCAAGTGGTGGGAGACACAGATGAGCAGAACAACTATATATATATATATATATATAAAATAAAGCACAGTTATCAACAAAAATAGTTCATGCTAAGAAAAGACACGACCACTTTTGGATATTAATTTCATGGAACAAGATAGAGAATGATAAGGTTTTTAAGGTACTATTTTAGAGAAGGAGACAGATATGGCAGCTTCTTATATGCTGTTAAACACCATGGATAATGTTGAGTTAAGAAGAAGCGTCCATGACCTTAAGGAATGGTTATGGTTTCTACTGTGTTGTTGAGACATCTGTAATACCATGAACCTAGTGCTATTGAGTTCTCATCCAATCAGTGTGAGAAAAGATTAACATGAAAGATCAAAAGTGAAAGAGAAAGCAAAGAATAAAGCACACTGAAAGCTACAACAATTCACATACATAGTTAAATATATATGGATTCAAATAACCTTCATACTAAGTGCATGGTACGTAGCACTGAAGCAACACACAACTAAAGAGCTCACATTAAAGATCACTGCATTTAGTGGTTATTTAAAAACAAAAGGATCAATAACAATAATTATAAACTCAACTTTGTTTTGTTTTGTGTTGTGTGGGATTCTATTTTTTTTTATGTTGTTGCAAATTATATGATTCAGGTTTTACTTGGCTTTACAAAAACACAAAGTTCAAAGGGCTTGCATATATAAACCAAAATATGGATTTGAGTTCAAGTGAGTCTTGAACAAAACACTGATCAAACTTGTTAGTGTTCAAAGTTCAAATGCTGGTGCCAAGAAGAAGAGGATGAACTTTAAGAGGAAATATAGAAGTAGATTTGATGCTATTTACATACTTTCGTTAGGAATGAGGAGTCATCGCTTGGAAATGGGGGAAGAGTGCAAGTGGGCAAAAAATGATAAAAAAATATCACATCTTAACTCAAAACCTATTTTACCACTTATTAGGAATGAAGAGTTATTGCCCAAAAATGAGGGGAGAAAAAATTGGCAAAGAGAGTGATAGAAGGATATCACATATTAATTTAAAATCTCAAACTCAAGTTTATAAGCCATTCCTCTTTATTTTGTATTAATTATTAATATCAATTTTATTTGATATGGGATTTCCTATATTAGCTTAAGTCTACTCACATTTATATATTTTAACAATCTTTTTCACTTACATGCTCCTCTTTTATTCAAGTTTTATTTAATATGCATAGGATTTCTTCTGCTCTTTATTCACATTTGGTTAAGAAGTAAAGAGTACGACCATATGAACATGAAGTGTCTGCATAATGGGTTGCCTTGTTGTGCTTAATAAAGAAGATTATTAAATTAATTAATTTAAATGGCTGCAATTTAGGTACAAGATGTTAACTGCTTACAAAAATTTATTCCACATGCATGGGTCCCTCCAATTAATATCCACATACATACTTAAGTGGCTCATGAGTCATCAGGATTATAAAAATACAAATCAAAACTCAATTCAAATAGATTACCTTTTAAACTGGCCTTCCTTGCGTCATCTGTAATAAGGAATTATTGGCTGTAATATTTTTCAACTTTAAAATTTTCTTCTTCTATTAGGTAGGGTCCTCATAATAAAAAAAGCAAAGAAAAGAAGAAGAAAAACCCTGAAATTGACTTTAGCACCACTTTTATGTGCCTCTTTTTGCTTCTCTTCAATAATCATTTCTCACCACACCATCGTTTCTGGTTCTTTTATGAGTAATTCAACCTGATGCAAAATTTTCAAACCATAGCCATTTCAATTGCAACTTATAGGTGGGAACTCCATCTAACAATAATCTACAGAGTCACATGTAAATAAACTAACAAGTCATGGACTCTTTCTTTTTGGTAATACAACCTGGTATTTTGCTCATCTTAACTAATTTGTCAGTATACATAGAGATTCACGGTATAACTTTTTGCAGTTTAGCTCCAAGACATTACACATACTCACTTTCATTGCTAGACCAAACTGGTGGAACTTATGACAGATGGGGTTTATGACATGAAATATGCACAAGCACTTATAGGACAAAAAGTGGACTTTCTCAGGATGCATACACATGCATATATTAGTAGCACTTGCCCAATAATTGTTTCAATAGTTTCTGCTCGTGTAAGCCATTAGTACAGTGACTGTTTTTTTTTTTTTCAAAAAAAAATTTTTTGCTTAACCCGGCCCACTTTTCTTGCCCTCATCCTCCTATAAATTCCCCCCACTACCCACATTTCTCCATCATCTCAGCAATATCCACATACACAATTCCAAGCCTTCAAGCATACCATCATCATAATCACCATCTTCCTCATCTCAGGTTTTGAGAATTCCACCCATGGTTCCAAGTGAAATCAGAGGGTTCCACTATCCGGCGCCTGAAAATCCCATCTTAGTTCCTCCAAATCTCGGCTTGTTTCAGCATGGTGATATCCAAAACCAGATTCACCTGAACACCCTCTTGAGCAATTTGCCAAACTGCTACTTCCCTTCTGGTTCAGGAAGCCTTGAGTTTGTTCCTCCCCTTCCACTTGCTTCTTCAAGCTGCTGCCTCAGCAGCAACTCAACTTCTGATGAAGCTGATGAGATTCAGCTCAGCATCATTGATGAAAGAAGGCAGAGGCGAATGATATCGAACCGAGAATCTGCCAGGAGGTCCAGGATGAGGAAGCAGAAGCACTTGGATGAGCTGTGGTCACAGGTGGTGAGGCTCAGGAATGAGAACCACAACCTCATTGACAAACTCAACCATGTGTCTGAGTCACATGATAGAGTTCTTCAGGAGAATGCACGACTCAAGGAAGAAGCTTCTGATCTTCGTCAACTGCTAGCTGACCTGAAAATTAGCTCTTCTTTTGCCGACAGCATGAGAGATTTTGATGAACTCAGAGCTGAGCTCTCAAACTAATATATCACTTCTTTAAAAGCGGAGGCTTTTCTTGTTTTGTTTTCCCCCTTTTTTCCGTACTGTAGAAATATACTGCTCTGCTGCTGCTTCTTCTAGCTTTGTGGTTTATATAATCATCATCTTGCCTTGCCTCCAGAGCTGGTTGAGTTTACACACAGATATCCAATAACGGCTCTTGATGAATTTTTCTTTTCTTGCTTTGTCCATAGCATGAGCAACATAAAATTTCACACTTAAGCCAATAATCCAAAATAGTTACTATGAACATCACGCCGCATACAAATCAGGTGGATTATGCAGAAGAGTACTGTAATGTGTACCTATCATAAATTTTGTGGTGTCTCTATCATTTTCACAGCCCACCAACTTTTGCACCCAGTATATTCCAAGAAAAGCAGACACAAATGAAAATAGAGCGGAACCGAGGAAAACAAAGGGCCGAGAATAAAAGAGCTTAATCAAAAGGAAGAAAAACAGCCCACTTCTGCCAGGTCTATTGTACAATTTAGAGGGCATGAAGGAGGAGATTAGTCTTAGGACTGAGTTATGCACGTGAAAAAGTTAATAGATGCTATCGTCAGTCTGAAACAAGGCCCCAAAGGAGTGGTCCGTTGTTGTTGTTGTTGAAGGAAGAAACAGTACCAATAATAGGACAAATGCTGGTGGAGATTCCGGTGCTAGTGGCTCATCATACCAATTCCTTTCATGAGAAACAAAACACATGAAAAGGGTATGCACTAAAACTAAATCAAAATAACTGTTAAGCTTTTTTTTTTTTTTTTTTCCCTGAGGACATCAATGCCTTTCTGGGTAGCCAAGCCAAAGCTTCAATTCTTGTCACCAATATGGATTATGTCAAACACAGCCTATGCTTCAACAATTGCTTGAAATAGTACTATCTTTTACAAAGAGACAAGTTAGTGCATCAGCATTAAGCAACCTCAACTCTTCTTCTTTTTCTTTTTCTCTGTTTTTTTTTTTTTAATGTGTTGTTGTGCATGTGTATGATCTGAACTTTCACTTCCATATGTAAAATTCGGGTTCTGAAGAAGGTTGGAGAAGATTTCTGTATTTTGATATTTAGAAAAATAAAGCAGACAAGAATTAACATGAGTGAATTTAAGTGAAAGGAGGCGTGTGGCATCATAATTGTAAAGTTGACAAACCAATCTTAATGGCACCATACATTGCCCACAGCAAATCTCCTAGCCTTTTGACAAATTGTCAAATTAGCCCACATTTTGTCCACCATACTAGCAAATTCTTTGAAGACAAGTCAAAATCCAAAACCTTCAGATAAAAAGGTTTTCATTCTTGGGAAAATTGTGTATATTAGAGAGATTAATATCAAGATTTCACCATCTTAAATCATACTTCTAGATTTCTTTACCACACAAGACCTTAGCTATTTGTACCAGGCGAACGGTACGTTTCCATGTGATAAAACTTGTTCCTGATTTTCTGTGTAGTTGCTGACTAAAATTTAGCAGGCAATATGCTGTAAAAGAACAAATTTTTAATGCAGAAATATTATTTGTGGCAAGACATTACATAATCACTGTAAGGTTTAGGCAGGCACGTGGATCATACTTCATCTTTGCCTCTAAAGTTTTCATGCATGAGTCACGCTGGATAGTGACCTAAATGCACTTCTTCTAATGTGTTTTTTGCACTATTTTTTCTTCAGTTGTTTCTGATGTATGTTCTTTCAAAAAATCTCTTTGCCTGCATCTTTATTCGATTTCATCTATCACACTAAGGATGGTTGGATTTTAGTTCCGGATTTACAATATTCAATTATGCTTATAAGACTTTATATCCTGTTCTAATCCAAACTACTAAAAAAGGAGGCGAATGATAATTAAAGACTTTATAAGAATATTAATTATAAAAAAGAACCTTGAATTTTTAAAATTTTAAAAAAGGACTAAGGTCTTTGGTTTGATTTTTATTTTTTGGTTGACCTTTTCAATGCTCATATTTACTCTTTTAGTACTTATCATTTCAATTTCTTTTTTCAATACTCATGTTTAATATTTTTAATACGCATCTTAAATATTTGAAAGAATTGATTTCAAGGACCTTCTAAGAGAATTATGTGCAAATAAAAATCAATAATAGGTCATTATTTGTAAAAAAAAAAAAAACAAGCCTCTGTTACTATTTTAATAACAAACAATTTTATATTGGTCCTTGTCTAAAATAATTTTCTTAAAAAGTCCTTAAATGTGATTCTCCCTTAATATATTCAATACTAAAAAAAAATTAAAAATAAGTTTTGAAAACTTCAAAGGCAAGTACCACAAAAATGTTAAAGATAAGTATTAAAAAGTTTAAAGTTGAGAACCAAAATATGAGTGCTAAAAAATCAACTCAAAAATTTTAAATTCCAATCAAGGATTAGTCTTTTTTAGAATTTCAAAAATCAAAGATCTGTAATTGTAATCAGTACTCTTAGAGAATCTTTAAATGTCATTTTTTGAAATTAAAATAATAACTTTTCTATATTAGACATATGTTTCACATTTAGTATTAAATTAAAATATAGTGTAATTCTATACCATTAAATATTTGGTTCAACTAGTAAAGAAATTATATTAATTTAACCAAAAATCTTGAGTTCATATCTTAAAAGTGATGCAAGTAAAACTTTCACCTAATAGAGTCAAAGTCAAGAGGTATTGGCACATCATTTGCCAAGTTCTACTACAAAAAGTTTTTTCTTTAAAAAAAAAAAGGCCCATTGAATCTTCTAGGAGCAATGGAATTATTTTAAAGAAATGAGCCTCTAACATAACTCTCTCGATATGAGTACCTTTCTAAGCCAATAGTTTTGTCCCGTCTTAATCTAGATTAGTTTAAGCTCCTATTCAATCCCCTTAGCTTGATCTGAGGCTGATTTAGAATGCCAAATACTTCACACAAGAATAAAACAAAATAATCTTGTTAAACAAAGGGTCAGAGGATAGTAAGGACGGGAGGCAGTATAGTATATAGGTATGTATATATATATATATATATTTCATATTTTATCTTCTTGGTTACAATCATGAATGTTCTCATGTTAGTGTGTATATCTATTTGGTGGCCTGAATTGATCTTTTACTTTACAAAATAACAGGGGGAAAAACTGCAATTTTCACCTTCAGCTTTTGAATATCCAAGTTGAATCATGACAAGATCATCTTCTTCTTGCATACATGTCTATAACATAGAGTCAATAACATGAAACATGAGGAAATAGCATAACAACTTTGAAGATATATGTACAACAGAGCATTATCATTAATTTAAACATGTTTTTCTGGTTCAAGGCAAAAGTAGCTTCTTACAATTGGTTTCGAAGATAAAAACAGCTCGTGTAATCCAACTACAATCGTCAAAGATATCAATGTCAATGCATCCAACTATAGGCCATGATTAGCTTAATGGAATGTCTGACAAAATTAGTCAGCATTATGTTTATGCGTACTCAATTCTCCACTTCTCATAATGGACTTCCCCAAAATCCCCCTTTTAAATTAATTAATTCATTTTTTATTCATCACAAAGGCGACTATAATCTCTGTTAGATCTGTTCGAATCCAATATGGTTTCTAGTAATAGTGATAGATACTATTTGCCTCAGATCACAAAGCAGAATTCAGTGAACGTAGATAAAATATGCTGCACTAGTACTGTTTCTTTTTTCTCTTCTTATTTCTTCAGCCCAGAGTTAAAGTTGTGTCTTTATATATATATATATATATATATTATATTTAAAACACACACACACACACACACACTGATGAAGTTATGCAACTCAATCACAAAAGATTGCTTCTAATAAGATTTATGAGATACAAATAGTTCAGTTTTGTTTTAGGGAATAGTCACATGCTGAAAAGTGCTATGAGTGAGACCAGTTTCATGTATTATTCTCAAAGTTTTGTAGCTCTTGAATCGTTCTCATTGAAATTAATGTGGATGAGTGAAAGAAAGAGAAAGAAGATTTAGGTCCCGATTGGTTGCTATAAATGAATAAAATAAATTAAAAAATAATATAAAAATGAATTAATTTACTTTTTTTCTTATGATAAGTATAATAAAATTTATTAATATATACTATAAATATAATAATTATCGCACCTTTAAAAATTTCATAAATCATGATTCCTAACTTTATAAACTAAATTACTTATTTTTTTTATAAATGTGGTTTATCATCTTTTTTTATTTTTATTTTTTTAATACATTTCATTCCATTCCTAATCTTTTTTTTTTTTTGCCTAACCGAATCTCATTATTTAATGACTATCGCTTGTATGGGTCACGGACTTATTTAATGAGAATTATTATTTGTTTTATTAATAAAGTATAACTATAATAGTAGATTAAGCAATAGTCACTAAAAGAAACCCATGCAAGAAAATACAAGCATCCCCTTGAATTGTAAAATCCATCGGACATCGCTTCATGTTTAGTGGTATTAAAATTGTGCGGGCCCCTTGAGATGTTCTGGAATTAAGTGGACTGTTCGAGGTACTCCTCTAATCATCTTTATACCATAGAGTGATAAAAAAAAATGGTTTTATTTATCAGGCAGTTGTTAATTTTTAATATCTTTTTTTATATTTTTATTTTTATTAAGTGCTTTAAACAAAAATATAACTAATAAAATTTAAAGATATTTATTAAAAATAAAAGTAAAAATTTTGTTAAATTTTAAGATAAAGTTAACAAAATTTAAATTTTTTTTTATTTTTGTAAAAATGATAGAAGTGATTTATAAATAGGATTAGATAGAATAGTCATGGTTCATTTAAACTACATCAATGTAAAAAATGACTGACTATAACATTGAAAAAGGGAAAATGACCACGAACGACCCATAAAATCATTAATTCCAAATAATAATTTTAAATTATTGAAATTTTAATAATAAATCATGATACTTACTTAGCATTAAAAATATATATGAGTTTATAAACTTTTCCTCCAGACTTACTTAGAAAATTAAAAAAAAGACACTACTGAAATTATTATTATTGTGTTGGGACTATTTTTTATTTTAATAAATATAATATTAAAAAATATTTAAAAATTAATTTAAATAAATGGCAAATCAATTTAAATTGAAATAGAGGATGAAGATTGTTTCAGGTCTTGATGAGCACTGATGAAGATCGGATGTGAATCCTAAA